CTCAGCCCACTGATTTAACTCTCCTGCTACACCAACATAATAAAACCACTTCGATGAGAGGCGTAGAGTTTCTTGCAACATAGATAGAGCGACACAGCTATTGTAAATTTGTAAGAATCAAGTCTGTGTACTTTTGCAATGGACATCTCTGACTAATCCAAGGCTAGCTTCTATTGCTGGACAAAGATCTTCTACTGTTCCAGCAGATGCCTGGATGACATTGTATAATGACCCAAGTGGTTTCATCCTAGACCTCGGCTCCATCTCTGTCACTATCCTCAAATCAATGGCCAATTCCATGATGAACACCAGATCGATTTCTTATTCTGGATGTGTTGCCCAAGTGTTTTTCTTTGCCTTCTTTGCTTCAGCAGATTATGCCATACTGACCGTCATGGCGTATGATCGATACGTCGCCATCTGCCAACCACTGCACTATGAGACAGTGATGAACAGAAAAGCTTGTGTCCAAATGGCAGCCAATGCCTGGATCAGTGTTATTCTCTACTGTGCAGTGCACACTGGAAACACATTTGCAATACCTTTCTGTGGAGGTAACATGGTGGATCAGTTTTTCTGTGAAATTCCCCAGCTCCTCAAAATCACCTGCTCTGACTCAGACCTCAGTGAAGATGGGTTTCTCATCTTTAGTTTATTCTTATGCTTAAGCTGCTTTGTTTTCATAATTGTGTCATATGTTCAGATCTTCACCACACTGGTGAGAATCCCTTCTAAGCAGGGCTGGCATAAAGCCTTATCCACCTGCCTTCCTCACCTCATTGTGGTCTCCTTGTTACTTTTCACTACCACTTTTGCGTATCTGAAACCCATCTCCAGCCCTCCATCGGTTCTGAATCTCTTGGTGGCCGTTCTCTATTCTGTGTTGCCACCAATGATGAATCCAATCATCTACAGCATGAGGAACAAGGAGCTCAAATGTGCACTGAGGAAACTGATAGGTTGGAGGTTATTCATGAAGAATGAGAAGTCCATATTTATTCTTTGAGCATGATTTCATTCTGTGTTTCTTAGAAAAATAATTATTTGATCATATTATTGTCTCCATGAGAACATACCGTGTTCTCCAGCATTCTTAACAGCCTCAGTAAGTTCTTATAAAATTGGATTTGACAGTGTCTGCCTTATAAGGTTTTCTGCATGTTGGTGCAGTCCAGAGACATGGTGTTTTGCAGGCTTTTCATACCGTGCTATCTGTTTTTGCAGAATTAGGTATTTACACTAGTAATAATCCAGACAAACTTGACTGAATGAAAAAAGAGTTATTATAAGAATATAAGAACATAAGAATATGGCCATATTATGGGGGGGAGGGATAGCTCAGTGGTTTGAGCATTGGCCTGCTAAACCCAGGGTTGTGAGTTCAATCCTTGAGGGGGCCACTTGGGAATCTGGGGCAAAATCAGTACTTGGTCCTGCTAGTGAAGGCAGGGGGCTGGACTCGATGACCTTTCAAGGTCCCTTCCAGTTCTAGGAGATGGGATATCTCCATTATTATTATAAGAATGGCCATACTGGGTCAGACCAAAGGTCCATCCAGCCCAGTATCCTGTCTATTGGCAGTGGCCCATGCCAGGTGTCCCATAGGGCATGAAGCTAACAGGTAGTGATCAAGTGATTTCTCTCCTGCCATCCATCTCCACCCTCTGACAAACAGAGGCTATGGACACCATTTCTTGCCATCCTGGCTAATAGCCATTAATGGATTTAACCACCATGAATTTATCCAGTTATTTTTTAAACCCTGTTATAGTGGGTTTTTTACCCATGAAAGCTTATGCCCAAATAAATCTGTTAGTCTTTAAGGTACCCTATTATAGGTTTACATCAATGTACATAAGATAAGAATCTATCTATCTATCTATCTATCTATCTATCTATCTAGCAATTATATAGCGTTACCCATCACCATGCTATATGAGCACCTTGCACATAATATCAGTAGCAATAGCAAAAGTTCCTAGTGGGGTCTATGGCTCTTCTTATTTTGGGTGATGATAAATCTGATTGAGGTATCAATGCATTTGTTATTTGTTTCTCTCTTTTTTAATGTATTTTTGTTTAGCTGGTTGGTTGGTGGTTTGATTTGTTTCTTTGTTCCAGGTGGTTTTGGAGGTGGAAAGGCCTGGGTAGATGGTGAGTGTTTGGTTCAACAGGATTTTCAATGTTTATCCTCTCTCGGGAGTGCACATACATCATCTCTTTGATGAGGTTTTTCTGAGCGCACTGAAGGTTTGCGCCCCACAATGATAAAAGGGTGCAAAAGAAGTTTCTGTATGGCTGAGTACCTGCTGAAATGATTATGTATATTCTGTTGGGGTATTATTGTATTATTAATGATT